CGTTGAACGTGTTAACAATAACACGTGACCTGAAACATAACAATAAGATCCAAACCTCGTTCAACCACTTACTATAGAAAAATATGGAAATATTAACATGATTTAGCAAACGTTAGCATAAATGAGTATAAGTTAACATAAATAAGGAAACGTTAACACGTAACGATGAAAGCTAACATTTTATAGCAAACGTTAGCATAAATGGGTAATAATTAACATAAACCTGGAAATGTTAACACGTAACAATGAAAGCTAACATGTCCTAGCATACGTTATTCAGAATGACTAAACTTACTGATGGGCTTAAGATCCAAACCTCGTTCAACCACTTACTATAGAAAAATATGGAAATATTAACATGATTTAGCAAACGTTAGCATAAATGAGTATAAGTTAACATAAATAAGGAAACGTTAACACGTAACGATGAAAGCTAACATTTTATAGCAAACGTTAGCATAAATGGGTAATAATTAACATAAACCTGGAAATGTTAACACGTAACAATGAAAGCTAACATGTCCTAGCATACGTTATTCAGAATGACTAAACTTACTGATGGGCTTTTTGATTGCAAAACTCAGAGATCCTTCTGTTCTCATCTGGTGTGAGCTTTGATAATACGTGTTGAGGTACTCTAAAGTTGTGAACGAAGGTTCCTTTACTATCAATCAAACGTATGCTAAAATCATCAATGTTAGGAATATCCTCGTTCAGCAACTTCAAAAGAGCCTCCTCCTTCTTCTTGATTTTCCTCTTCCCCAAAAAATCCCAAGTGCATTCATCAGGCTTACAATAGAACCTGATTTTTTCCCTCTCTTCCTCCTTGTGGTGTGATATGTTAATTATCTCTTGATGAACTTCCTTCTTCTTTTCTTGAGTGAAAGGGGTGCGGACTAGTTGTGAGCGCGTCCGCCTTCTGGTACTTGGTCCCCTAGTCCCCTTTGACGCTAATCTCTTCATTCTCTTCTGATAAACTTGCACCTGTTTTCCATCCTCCATCCTTTCTTCATCCAGTTTCTCCTCAGCACATTCTCCCTCTCTGTTTTCCACCACTTTTTCTTCATCTTTCTTCTTTCCTTTTTCCTCTTCCACTTTCTCCTCCACATTCTCCCTCTCTGTTCTCCTCCACTTTTTCTTCATCTTTCTTCTTTCCTTTTTCCTCTTCCTCTTCCATCCTTTCTTCATCTTTCTTCTCCTCAGCACATTCTCCCTCTCTGTTCTCCACCACTATTTCTTCATCTTTCTTCTGATGTTTTTCCTCTTCCACTTTCTCCTCTTCCTCTTCCTCTTCCTCATTCTTCTCCTGCTCTCGCTCTTCCTCTTTCTTCTCATCCACAGTCGCTTCCTCTTTCTTATCCTCCTCACTCTCTACAGCTTTCTCCAAATTATCATCCTCCATCTCTTGCCATTCACCTTTCTCTAACTCCTTCTCTGCTTCCTTGCCAATATTGGTTACCTCGTCATAATCGAAGCAAATTCCATCATCACCCCTGTCCTCAGAATCAATACTCCTCCTTATTTTCTTTTGTGCAGACCCTGTATGCCCCTCTTTCTGTGACATAATCCCCTTCACATTCTTCTTCAGGTCTTCGGGGTCAATCAAGTCAGCGGTCCCTTCATAACCCTCCAATTTCTTGTTCAGCCTATGTATCTCCTTAGAGCATTCCTCCCATTGAAGGCGCTTACTACGCTTGACAGTGTGGAGCAGTTTCCAATTAATTTTGGCCGTATTCCGCCAAAATTGAATTTGATCTTCGGTTGTCAACTTCTCTATTTCATCTTCACTCTCAAAAGCATCTCTGATATGCTAGGCTAAAATCTGAAAAGTAAACCATATACCCATTACCCATATGTATCCACAATATTAAAAAAAATAGTTATGAGAATCCACAATGTAATTTTCTTACCCAAAACATGTTAACATGAAACAATGAGTACATGGAAAATTAACTAATGATAAAGATAGAAAATTTAACTCAATTGGTAATATGCAAGAATGTGTAAAGAGTCATTGATGCTTACGTAACCTACGGATGAGCTCCTTGTCCTGCCCTTCACCTTATCTTGCTTCCCATCCTTTACCTTTTCTTCCTCATTCTTCTTTCTCACCCTAGTTTGCTCCATAACCTTACTCCTATATGAGACAATTGGGCTTCTTTTTTTCCCAAAGCGAGCGATTTCAATCTTCTTCCTGCTAGGCTCCCGTTGAGGGTATTTTTCACCTTGAGGGTATTTTTCACCCCATTCAATGCTGGTCGTAATTGGTCTCTCCATGATTTTAATGCTTGCTTTCTTGGCCTTAGAGACAATTGTCTCCATCCTCAACGATCCAGCAGTCCCTCCAATCCTTACCCAATTGGTCATCGGAGGCTTCCATCTCAAGTTTAGGGCTGGTTTTTTAATGCCAGTCATCTCATAGTACCATAGCTGTCAGAATCGAAGGAACGAATATCAAAATAGTTAACTTTCAGAACTCATTCTTCAACTACACTCTAAATAGCTACCTTTCACCAAAACATGTTAACATTAATGGGTATGTTAACTTTCACCTATTAATGTTAACTTTAATTTTTATATGTTAAAGTTCATGTTAACATGTTAACTTTCACCTATTAATGTTAACTTTAATTTTTATATGTTAAAGTTCATGTTAACATGTTAATTTTAACCATATTCTGTAAACATTTAATATTGTACATGTTTTCTAATGCCTGTTACCAAGACTAATGTTAACTAAAACAAATGTCAGACCAGTTGGTCATGCAACTTACAGGGATGAGCGGCATGCATCCAGGTACGTATGTAACCCCTGGCTTCCTCAACCCTTCAACGGCAATTTGAATGCCTCTCTTCGTCTCATCAAAAATAATTTTACCCCACGCAATGTTCTTCACTCTCTCAATACTATCTACATATTGAAACAACTGTCTTGGAATGCCTTGTGAGCTGTTGGGGCACCAAATCATTGCACACTGGTACAAGATCTGAAGCAGCACAAAATCCTCAATGTCCTTATTTTCAGAAGACTCAACCAGTGTTTCCAGTAACTCCTCAACATATCTCCTCATGCTACCAGCTTCTTCTGTGGCCTTGGCCTTCGCCTTTGACTTTGCCTTTAGCATTTCTTTCTTCTCTTCAAAATATTCCCTCCAAAGCCGGTTGTGCGGGTGTCTATTCCCGTAGATCAATTCCCCATCAATAGGGAAGCCCGTGTGAGTTTGCACCCACTCTTCATCAAATTGGACTGAAAATATAGTCCTGCTTATGGGATCAGGAAAAGAGAATTCATTAGTTTCGCCAACATAATGGCTGAGCACATGCTCTAGTGCCCGTCGATCACGTGCTGGAGGTCCGAAGAATACATAGTGCTCAAAGTTACTGCCCTTGTAGGCATCCCAATGCCACTGCTTCAGTTTTGGTTGAAGTCTTTGCATGAAAGTACAATATGATCCAAGACAGGCACTAGGCCGTATATCACCTTCGGCTGTAGCTTTCCTGCATAAACAACTATTTACTCTTAACAAGTCGTTCAACTCCAAAGTAGGTAACAATTAACCGTAAAGGCATTATCTGAGTCAAAATTTCGTTTTATTAACATGAATAGCTAATACTTGACACTTATGCATAAACGTTAACAACAACCAAGATTTATTGACATGCATTGCAACTAGCTATCAACAAATGAGAATTATTTACATGCATTTGTTCCAAACTGATAACACTTCGTATTGTTCAGATCTTACTCCAAAATTACGAAACTGGTTCTACACTACAATAACCAGTCTCTCACCACCATTTTATTCAAAAAAAGATCCCATAAACCTCAATTAAAATCAAAATCACTCATTTAAACTAATTAAATTCAAAAACCCTCAATTGCTTGGGAATTTACTTCTTCTTTGAGATGAACACATCCTCCAACGAGCGTCTCCTCTTGCTTTCGCGAATATCCAGACTTTTCATGCTCAATAGGGTTTCCGTCGCCTCGTTACTCTCCTCATCCTCAGAGGATGTCGGAGCAGAATTGCCGGCGGGCGATATCAAGGCAGAGGCGGAGGCGGATAACTTTGGCATTTCCTGCTGCGCCAATCGTGCCGACCGACGCCGGTGACGAACGTCCTGTTCCGTTTGTTTGTTGTCCACTTCAGACTTGCTACGCTTACGGTTCTTCGCCATTTTACTTAAATTTCTTTGGGGCATTTTCCAATTAGATTTCCTAGCCGCTTGAGTGAAACTAGGGTTTTGAAAATGGGTTCGAAAGCTAATGGAGGTTTGCGGTGAAGAAGATACAGAGAGAGAGAAGAGAGAGAGAGAGAGAAGGCGGCCAGGCTGAAGGGGGGAACGGGTACAAAAGGGTATTTTGGTCTGAACGCCTGAACTTTTCTCTTAAAGTTGTCTTGAAAATGAAAAAATGGCTGATTCAGTATTAATTTGGGTTTTGGGGGGTTTGTCACACAAAAAAAAATACAGGGGGGCTGCCCACATCCGATTTTTGGTTTTGGGGCCTTGAAACATTTTTCCCATACATTTATGTGTTTTAGCATGACTTGAAGGGTATTTTCGAAAGGAATGTTTTAATATGCCAACTCACTTTTATAATAGTATAATGTAATATAATATAATAATAGATTAGAATTTCTATTCTAATCCCTAAATTTTGATGCGGGTTCATCTTCAACCCCCTAACCCCCTCTCCCCCGTCTCTCAAAATCTCAAACATCAAGAAACCAAAACAAAACACAGAGAGCAGTTTTGTTGATGCTCAGAGCGGCCGACCGGGAGTCAGCAATGGCGGCCTCGCTCCCTCCCACGCCACCACCCCACCCTTCGGTTCGCTCGCCGGCCTGCTTCGCCGCCGGCTAGCCTCCTCGCCCTTAACTTCCACGAGCACCATCTCCGCTGTCGCTTCCTATTGGAAACCGACGGATTATGATGACGAAAAGGATCCAGGAGCACAAGGATGAACCCTCCGCCGCCGACTCCTCTGGTGGCCCTCTCTCTGATCCCGCGGCGTCCCGAGCACGGCGATGGTGGAGGTCCATGGACAGGTTCAGGGATCCAAGGGGAATAAGAAGAGGAATAAGCCTGCGCTTGAGATTGAGAACCTTGCTGAGATTCTTGAGGATTTCAAGATGGTAAGGGGGAAAAGTTGAGATTTTAAGGGTTTTTTGGGATTGTTTTGTGCTGCTTAGGGATATACATCTTAGGATGAGATTGCTCCTATTAAGGTTACAATAAGTGATAAAACTATAGCTAATGAGGACGAAGAGGGCTTGAGTTAGAACTAAAAGAAGTTGGTTGGAAGCGATTAACGACTATTATGACCCGAAATAGAACTGAATCGAAGGATAGAATTCATGTGACAAACCTCAAAGAACTAGTACATAACAGCATTTTGTTGTTGTTATTTGAGTGAGTTGATTATTCCGTTTTGGTATTGTAGGTGCTTGTGGTGAGGAATGACTTGAAGATGGGAAAAGGAAAGATTGCTGCACAATGCAGGTATTTTTTTTCCGTCTTACGGCTTCATTTTATGACGTGCTTTTATGCAGATTGTATAGAGTAATGTGCGGGTTTTATTTTTTGCTTTAGTCAAACTTAGAGGACCTTTTAAGTTCTAAATTTGTGGTTTTATTTATTTTCTTGGAACAATATATATGTCAATTGGTGGTGTGAGCTGTGAAACTATAGCTCAACGCTAAAATGTCCTATATCATTGGAAGATTATAGTCACACACTCTAAAATATGCTCCAATCCATTTTCCAAATCACAATAATTTTGTCACTTATTAGCATAATGGATTGATAGTAGAACTCATGACAAATTGATTTAATGAAGACAAGCTTCAGGAACAATTTTTCTGTGAAAAATAAGCTCTCTTTCTGGAAGAACTGCAATAATAGCTTAACTCAAGTCATTATCTGTCTGAACTATATTTAGCGGAGAAGAGCTATTGATGGTATCCAAAACTGTCACATGTGTGCACATGATATTTTCCTATTGTGCAAAGAATACTTTCTTGGAGAAGGGTCAAGACATATAATCTGAAAATGTTATGTTTCATGTATTCTGTGAATACTTACAAAATTTATGCATGTTGAAAATGAATGTAGGACATTAGGAGTGCATTAGCATTAGCAGAGGTTGTGGAGTTAATTTGATGATATTAATGACAGGGTAGGAGGAATTTTTGCAGACGCCATGGTGGGGGAAATCTACAATATGGTTTTTGGGCTTTCAACTTTGCCACATAAGTTGGATTGATTCAGTTAGTTGAAGATGTGGAGAAATTTTATACGGCACTAATAAGTTGTTGGGACATTGTGAAAGATGATTAAAACCTTTTTTGCATCTTCAACACGTTGGCTTTGATTTGGAACAACTAAGGTTGTGTTGGTTTAAGTACGAGTTTCAGATATGACATAGTAAATAAGTATGAATATACAAACTGTAAAAAACTCATGGATATGTATTCTTCATGGATACGACATAACTGTTACCATATCATGTGTTGTTAAATTTTAATCAATCAACAGCCTAGTATGAAATCCATCATAATTATAACTAAGTTCATAGCATTGTATAAAAGTAATCCATTAAAATATGATGTCCAAGCCCTGCCCAACAAATGCAAACAAATCTAACCATTGGTTTAAAACTGGATATAGGATGGATCAATTTATAGGTAACTGAGAGAGGATCAGTGACCATTGAATTTGGGAGTTGACATGATATCTTCAGGATTTGAACATGGGTTAATTGGTAAAGTTTGAACCCAACCTATTTGCTTATATGGCCTATATAAGACAAATAAAATGGAGAAGGGAGTTGTTTGATACGAATCCAGCCAGATAATAGCTTTATAGTATGGTTAATTGCAACTCAAAATGGCATGGCAATGCTTTATTTTACGTGGCTGATTTTTTGGCTGCATGAAACATTTCAGTACTAATGGTTACTAGGGTATCAAGTCAATAAACAACCCTTCACAATCCATGAGTAGCCGTTTTGTGTCTTTTCTGCATTTCAAAGAAGACTTCTGCACATGCTTTCTTATGGATAGCGAAGTGGCTTGTTCCTTCCAGGGAATCAAGAATCAAACCAAATATATAACTGCAGGAGAGTTGAAGCCTAAAATTTGAATCCAAATACTAACCCCAAATACTGGTGTTTATTATTATTATCTGGGATTGTGATCTGAACTTGTCGGAGTTTTGTGTTTTGGAGATGGTGGTGATGATGACTTTGTTTAAATTTATTGTTGGGAGAAAGGTCAAATGATCGTTTCCTGTTGTAGTTTTGGATTCATTAAAGAGTGCCTCTAACAGCCTCTGCTGTACTCAGTATTATGTGTAAGCTCTTGTTGATGTTGTAATTTTCATCTTGTATTCTTTTTTTTTAATTACATGAAAACTGAGCTGGGCATGATTTTTCTCTTTCTTCTGTTGATTTACTTGGACAATTGTCATGGCCAAGCTGTCCAGTCGACCAGTCTAATGTAATTAATAAGCCATGCATTATTGCATGTGCATTCATCTGTTTCCATCTAAAGGCATAGATGGGCATATGATACAGCTAAAAGTTCCAAGATTTGATGGGTATATATGATTTTGCTTCAGATCTTCTCAACTCATAGAAGGAGGTTATGATAGGACTTAATTTTGCATGGCAGTATGACCTGTAACAAGCAGCAGGTTTTAGACCCTTATTTAAAGATACAAATTTCCTACCCTTATCTCATTTTAATTGTATAATAGAAAAATGAAAAGATATTACTGAAGGAATCCCTAAAGAATTGCATTGTAAAGTTCAGAACAAGGTATCAATCATATACATGAATTTTCACATTTTGCTATTTAAGTTATTTAAGTTTCAGCAAGTGTAGGGTAACGTTGCATGGACCATACCGAAAAGTACATAGATATTGTCAAAGGACCCTTCCACTACACAAACTACGAAGTTGTGGGAAGGATTGAGAGATATTTATAGTGTAACATGGTCCCACAAGGGGCACGTGCCTTTATGCACCGAGACTTGGACGCATAGAGCAGTATTTTATTTTTTAAATTGCTTTAAATTCATTGCTAGTAAGAATTGAACTTGGATTATTCTAATACCATGTCAAAGAACCCTTCCACTACATCAAACCTCCAAAGTTGTGAGATTTTAGAGTTATAATTTTACTCTTATAGATATGAAAAAGTACATAGAAACACTGTTATAAATAGCGGTAAATAGCTCTGCAATAGCGGCGTTATTAGCGTTAGCGGTCCCCTCCTGCTATGCTATCGCGCAATAGCGGTGACATATTGGGGAATATGCGTTTTTTGTTCGCAAAAGCGATCAATAGTGTACCATAACGGTAAATAGTGGGCGATTGCATGCGAAATCCGTTTTTTGACTGCTATTTAAAAGCGGTTTGTGGTTTATTTTTTTAAATTAAATCCGACCCTTGACCATTGCATTCCACCATCTCCTGTGATTTTCAGCATACTCCTGCCACCTCTCATAGCCTCTGGTACCTACCTCATTACTTTCTCTCATCTCCTTCACCGTGAGCTCCTCTTAAGGCAGTCCTCTCACCGCTCAGCTCTTCTTCTCGAAGACGACTACTCTTTGACTCTTCCAGTCGCCCTCAGTATTACGTGATGGTTACATGTCTATTTCATGTTTAGGATCTCTTTAAATCATCAAATATGTACTTTTATTTTTTTTAGATTTTTCTTTAATCTTTTTTAGTATTTATACATATCTAAATTAGATCGTTATTTGATTTTGCGCTTTTTACCGCTATTTTGCCGCAATAGTCCCAAATAGCCATAGTGATGCCTCGCCGCTACGCGACGCTATCCGCTATCGATAACCTTGCATAGAAACCTGTGTAACCAAGTTCATTCAGAAATTATGTGGAGAAGATGCTTCAGGTGTAGATTGCATGCTACTTCCAAAAATTTGAAATCCAAATGGTTGAATGTTACTTACAAAATTATGCTCCCTAAAGGAGAATGAATATTCATTGTTTTACATGTTCTTTTTTTAGTTCATTAAGTGGCTGAAAATTGATATGTTGAAAGAAGGAGAAGAAGTGAAGAACTGCTTGTTCTGTTGTAATTTTTTTAAGGGAAAAAATGAGTTTTGTTTTTGTTTTTTGTTTTAACAAATGTTTCTAGATCATTTCCAGTGTGATTGTCAATGAAGATGCTATATCATGTAGTTTAGAGTTGAAGCATCTGCTTCCCTGATATTGTTCTACAAGCCTCTATTATATGTGTTCTAGCATGCTTTCATCATTCATGCAGTCAAAGAACTTACCTACTCATATTTCTTTCCATTTTGCTTCTGTAAAACATCTAACATATTAGTATCCTTAGTTTGGCATGATTAACTGCTGAACTTTTTAACCAAAGTGCAAAAGTTAATTTGCATATCATATTTTTACCATATGCCAAGATACTAAAATACCAAGTGTTATTTTCAAACTTGATGACGCCATCACCTGTTTCTGTCATTGATAGTCAACTTGAAGAATTCTAGTTTCTGTTTTGGGATAGAAAAGGTATAAATATTACTCATATAAAGATCATGTAACACTGCAGTCGTACTTCCCATCTTGTTGTTTATGAACTTTCATTATCTAATCCTTAATGGTGTTATTATGCTTATGCTTACTAGCCATGCTACTCTGGGTTTGTATAAAAAGCTTCACAACAGAGCCCCGAAAGCATTAAGCAGGTACCTCTGTTGCTCTATGTTATTATTTGACTGTTCAAAAAATTTACCTCCTGCAAGCAATGCTGTTAAGCTGCAAAGAAGTCTGTGCTTTAATATTTAAATTTCTTTAACTTTCAGGTGGGAAATGTGCGGACAGGTTAAAGTTGTTTTAAAAATTGATAGCGAGGAAGACATGCTTTTATTACAGGTATGCTAACTTTAAATTATTGTCGCTGTTGTTTATTCTAAGAAGTGAATTTTGTACATACATTTACTTGTGCAAATGGGGAAAAAAACAAAGGAATGTGAGGATCTTGCAGTTAAATATAAAACAAGAGAAAACCAAGACATACACCTCTGCCATATCTATAATTATTCAAGGGAATTCTTATTTCACATGACTATGGTAAATTTTTTTAAAGAATTTACTGATAACTGTACATGCTTGATGCTTCCACATGTGAATTTTGACAGGAAAGAGCAAAGTCATTGATGTTACCAACCCATGTGACAATTGATGCTGGAAGGACACAAATTGCCCCAAGTGAGTAGTTTACTCGATTTCTTTCTGTAAATTATGATCATCTTCCTGGTTTCCTGTAGTAAATTCTCCAGCTATTCTCGATTTTGTGGATCATCATGGTATGAAGTTTGTAAGAAGACCACCGGTTTTATACCATACTTGCATTGCTGAAGTTTAGAATTTTCCAGTTTTGGTTCACATACGAAGTGACATTTGTGTCTTTTCCTACAGATTCAAGGACGGTGATGGCTATACTAGGTAAGTTGATTCCTATCTTTTTTTTGTCACGAGATCTTTCTACCGAATAACATTTTCTTATAAGAAAGGAGAAACTATGAGTAGCCTTATGCTGAACAATGTTTTGAAAAGAGTTTGGTTTAATTTTTGAAGTACAATATTGTGACTGGTCAAGAAAGAGATTTCTTGGATTTGTCTTAGTCATTAGTTATCTTTTAAATGTTCTACAAATTGGAACAAAGAGGTTTGATAACGGTGGATCTATAAGGTCCAGTGCCTTGGTTTTATCTGACTTTTGGAGAAAAGAGAGTCCTCATGGTGTCAAATAAGATGAATATAGCCCACGCAAAGGAAAATGGCATGCAATTAGGGACGATGGAAGTTTATGCAGTTATAGGGACATTTTACAGGGTGGTGACTGGAGTGTTCTTTTATTTAGTTTTTGTTTTCCAAAACCTGGGACAAGGTTTCATCCCAGTTCCAGTGGTTTTGACGCAATTATTTGAGGACTGATTTTAAAATGGTTAGTTTTGGTTTCACAAAGTTTTTGCTGATACACATCTGTGTCGGTTAATTTCCATGGTTTTCAAACTAGTTTCACGTAGTTTCAAAAATTTTATATGGAACTCATTGGAACCTACTGAAACACCCTAAAGAACAAAACTTAAGGGAGAAATTGAACCTAATACTCCTAATTTAATAATTTCACCTTCTTTTTACTTATATAGTCCAAAATTACTAAACCCTAGTCTATCATAATTTATTAATTTTTCAGTTTAATATCAATTATAATCTTATTTTTTAAATTGATGAGTTTCATATTAATTTAGATTATTTTTGAACTATTGGTTGAGTGCCATTAACTTTGACTGAACATCTATTGAGCAGATATGTAACATGTTTACAGTTACTTGCTCCTCAGGTATTACATATGTAAGGAACCAAGGATGGTACTAGTAGTTTTAGGCTTAACTTTCATGTTTATATACGTTGAAACTAGAGTTGGAACTCAAAATGAAACCTTTGAAACTAGTGAAACCTATGGATACCTTTTATAGAATTAAGGCTCAATGCCGAAGCTGATACCGAGCCTCTGAAACCTTGTTTTAAATGCGTAACCAATTTAGAAGAAAGTACTTGAAGATCTCTTCTGGATAGAATTGTATACTAAAAGCAGAAATTGTGCATCTAGGATAAGAATAAGGTCCAAGGGATGTTTGCTGAGTAGACCGCCCCTTTTAGAAAGATATTTCATAGTGTATGAGTGAATTGTTTAAGCAATGGCTATAACCTTTGGAACACTGATCAGATTGCAACTTGATTACTGAGATCATGTTTAAGCACATCAGTGATCTTAGGCACTAATATTTTTTGGTGATAATTAGTACTTGTACTATTCACTGGTTTATTAGGGCGGGAAGATTCTTTTGAGATCATCTTGCATACCTTTCTAGGTTGTCTGTCATTTTCTAGTTTATCTGAGCACCAAGTTTGAAATGACACAAGACTCGGTCAAAACTTGGGCAATTAATTCATCATTCTAAACACTGTATGTTTGGAAATAAGTGTATTTGCAACTTTGTGTGCTTGGTTTTACCAAAATGAGTGGATATTTACTGGCTCCTCATGAGAGAGATTTGTATTATCATATTACTTACACTGGTTTACATTGTGGTTTACATTATCGTGTAGATCATAGTAAAGCTAATATGTAATTTATCATATGTGAAGAACTTTAAAAATGCAGTGTGTCTTTTTTTATGGCCTGACATAAATCCTCATGACCAGCTTGAAATCTTACGCTTGATTTGTGAACAGGACCAGCTGATGTGGTCGACGATGTAACTGGTGGCCTAAAGCTCTTGTGATCTTACGCTGCCCACTCAGCACTGATTGATGAAAGAATATAGGATTTATCCTTTACAATTCAAGTTACATCTCAGAGTACATTTCTGTAAACTCCTTTTTTTTGCTCTTCATTAATCAAAATGTTCAATTTGCTCATGCTACTAAGTAAAAGAGCTAATATATGGAAAGCTACTTTGTTTGATTGTTTGGATTAGTATCACATCTTTGCACTAGTGAGTTGAAAGTTTTCTGAACCATATCTAGCAAAGATCTTGGGAGTCAGATCCCTGCCAAAACGGGTGGAATCTGACTAGGATCTGATGCATTTCTCACTAGGATGCTGGTCCCATTAGCCAAACCTTAATACTGGTTGTGTCCTTTCCCTTGACCAAGTTGTTTTGTTGTCCCAATCACTTGTAAGCTAAGTTTACCTATATTTAAAAGAAGAAAAGTATATGGGTAAGTACTAAAGTTCTCTCTGCGATTAGTAGGAATGACAAGAAATCCCAATATTCATCATTGTTTTCTATTTAATCATCACTCTTTAATATAATAATCATGTACATGTTTATATGGAACCATATACAATTGCCACACCCTACTACGACGAATTTCGCATCCGGGTTGACTTTGTAGAAATTGGAAAGAATGAATCAAATTGTCACGTTTAAAATCTTAGGAGCTGTTTCTGTGAATCCTGCAAACCTTAGTGGAACTTGAATTTTTACACTTGTTACTCATCCACAACAAGCACGAACTATCTTTATAATGGTGTAGCCATAATGGGAAGGAAATGCTTTCTGCTATCTATGTGAGGCTTGAGCCTGTGCACTTTTTTGCTCATCCCTAGCACAATAACGGGCGTATGTCCACGTGATTGCTTAAATGATAAAGTGTTGAAGTGATCAAATTAGAACTATGGCCACCGTTGCCATGTTAGGCTAGTTTTTCTTCATAGAGAAGACATTAGAACTAGCAGATGTTTAGGTTCTTTCTTTTTGGAACAAGACGGAGAGTTTACCCATTTATACCCAAGATCCAAATAATAGCAAAGGTTGAAACAAAGCAGAGCATGTAACGTGATACTAACTACCTCACATGTGATTACCCCATAATTTCTTCAAGACAACGTCATGTGAAGAAGCTAGATTCATTCCCCTTCACAAGGGAGATTCTTGTTTGCTTTTTGGTACGATAAGAAATCAAGAATTATTATGCACAGAGATACCTAACAACAAAGGTTTTAGGCCTTTGAAACTAGTGTTAGGTACATCATTATTGTCTAAATCTTAATTGAAGGACGTATAACACCTACTTGATTGTGGTGGGGGCAGTGAGGGCCAGCTTGGAATTCCAAAAAGAACGAACCAGGGCACATCTTTGTGTTGCTTTACAAAGAGATTACAGGATGGCATAAAAAAGCAAAAGTGATCTCCACTAACCCACCCCACTTTCATCGTCACCGCTTCTCTCTATAAATTTGCTCCTTTAGCCTCTTCATTCCTCCCCCTTTCCCCTTCTCCTCTCCTACTATCTCCACTTCACCCCATATCTTAGTTCGTGCTAAGAGAGGTGCCGAATCTCAGTGGATTGTAATAGCAAGCCACTCTGCCACTTACGATACTATCTGATATAACAATGAGCATATCGATGGAGTACTATTGCTCAAGGCTAGAGATCTTCCTCTCCCTACTCATCAAATGGCTACTCCTTCCAGTGAGATGGCTCGCCATCTGGACCAATCGTGAGTCGCCACATGGCAATCAATCTGATATCATGCGGAAGGCCGTCAGAGACAGCCTCCATGTGGCGACCTACGGGGAGCTAATAATGAAAACAACCGTAGAGGAGACGACATGTGCAGTTTGCCTTAGTGAAGTGCAAGGGAGAGATAGAGTGTGGGAGTTGAGGAATTGCAGTCACGTGTTCCATAAAGGGTGTTTGGATACATGGCTAGATCATGATGAACATTTGACTTGCCCTCTTTGTCGAGCTCCTCTTATTACTCCTGCTCAGGCTCACCAAGGCCCGTTTGTGGCCCGGGAGGAGCCCAGTTGGGCTGTGGAGAGGCTCCTCTATCTCTTTGGAGATGATTTGCTCTTGAGTTAATAGCCACTGTGATTGTGGTTGCTCATTAGTTCTTGGGGATTGCATGTACATGTGTATGTTATATACAGAGATATATATATTTATATAATATTTTTGGGTTAAGTTAGCCACTTATTACCTCTACAAAGTTTTATTAGTACTTCGACCTCATGATGTCCAAATATACTCATCTCCTTGTTATCTGAAACTCACCACTTGTGATGTCGTGAGACATCAACGATATGGTTCAGGACAATCTTTTGACATGTTAATTTTGTTGCAGACCTTTTCTATCATAGGTGTTGAACATGTACCCCCTACAATACAGGTACAAATAACATTCATAACATCATGAAATCAAGTGCTAATAAACGAAATTAGGAGCGATAACTGACCAATTCCCTATGCTAGAAGGGTCTGCAAATAATCCGGTATCTTTTGTATGCGTTGTGTCATAGATTTGTGTCGTCTTCAGCCTTCTTATTTGTATGTGTACGTATGTTACTTTTTATTCAAGAAATTATAACCGTATGGTTAAACGATAAAGCGTTCTGATTGAAGTAGATTTTTCCATTGTAACCCAAAAAAGTTTTGATCATTTTTATTACTTGTTAGTGTAGTCAAAATCATCGACATAGTCGTAGCTTATCTAAATGGAACCAAAGATGGTCCAAGTTGAAGGAATGGTGTGCTGAAACAATGATGGCTGAAGCCGAGAATGTATTCCTTTGAGCTATTGATTCAGAGTCATCCTTTGCCTTATCAAGATGGGATCAAAGATTATAAAGTAAGCGCTGATAACAACTAGAATTGCTAGCGACTGCCATTATTTTGTGCAATTTTCCCCCCTTCACACAGCAGAGCAGCATTTCTAAGGTTTTTGGTGAGTGATTGATGACATCGTCAGTCAGTGACAAACTGGTCAGTCTTTTTGTTACACTAGGTAGAATGCATGTGCACTACACGTGATCAAATATTATAATTATTTACTTTAAATTTATTTATTTACTATAACATGGTTGTAAAAAACTTTATAATTATCATAATATATTATTATTTTTTATATATTTCCATGTGTGATTTTAACATTTTGTCTTCCAGAAAAATAGTGATGTTTAAAGCCTTAAAATATTAATGATTTAAGATTAATTAGTAATTTGAATGTATAATTTCAAAATATTAATGATGTAAGTGACCAATATGGAAAAACCTATTATTATTAATAAAAAATAAATTCTTGAATTCATTAAGGAAAATGGTAGGTTTTATCTAGTTATTAAGAATTTTGTTCAGTTATTAAAAAATCACTTTCACCTGGTATTTACTTCCGCCTGTTGTTTATCTGGCGATTGAGTATTATAGATATTCAAGAACTTTTTCTAAAATTTTCTAAGTCACAATATGCAAATTCAATTAAGAAAGAAAATATAAATTATGTGATCAATTCCAAAATCTGATGTTGTACTCTTTTTACATCTTCCAAACTACTAATTGATTTGTCAAAATGATTACTCTCTAATTTCAGAAAACTATAAAATATAGTCTAAAAATAATTTGTACATATTATGCACTCATATTGATTGTATTTTAATAAAATAATTCATATCTATCAAATATCAAACAACATCCAAAAATTTAGTTTAAGGAGTTAGAAGAATACAATATCTGTAATAATACTCATATCCAAGTTATGAGCTTTATAAACTTATAAGAATGTGAGCAATATAAAATGACAATTTAATTTACTTTGTCAAATAATTTATTACAAATCATGAAAGAGAAGGGGAATCGGAAGGATCATATACCCATCTCAAATAAATATTAAATTTCTCTTAGAGATTCTTATAGTAAATTTTTTTTAGAGTTGATGTGTTGGATAAATTTAAGGACAAATAACTCAAACCAAATCATTGAGTGATAGATTTACTATAAACTCCACTCTTATAAAATTGATATCACATGTGCCTTAAGTTGTGCTTTTATTTAAGAGTTAATTTTAAAAAACTCTCCCTCAACTATAGAGGGCATGGCAAATCCCTCTTAGTTTTGGGTGTTTTGTAGATAATCTATTTCTACCTAAAAAATTTTGATTTAACTACAGTGAACTTTTCTCACTTAAACCTAACCTCTTAAAACCATCATTGAGTCTTATCTATTATGTGACAAGTACTTGACTTGGAAAGACCAAAATATCAATCAATCATAAAAGAATTACCTTGGTTTTTGCCAGATAAAAGAGATGATATAGAGGGGAAAGAATTGTAAATTGGTTGTGATCCTTTTATTATTGGTTGATGGTTTCTTTTTAATTAAAATTACTTTCTTCAAGAGGGTATTTTATCCAAATCACATATCAAAGTTATTATGTTAAGAGGATTTGTTGATAGAGTTGTAAAGGATTAGGGGAGTTTTGATGAGATACGTTATAGCTGAGATGTGTTTTCTAAAATTGCATCAAAATTGAGAGGGGTTATCTATAACACCCCACATAGTGAGGGGGTTTTGTCAAATTAAATCAGTTGAGTGAGTTTTTTAAGATAATCCCCATAGTTGAGAGGGTTTTTAAAAATTAATACTTCTTTTAAATATGTCTTATTTATAATTTGTCCCTCAAATTTTTAATAATTTAATATTAGTCCCTAAAATTATGAGCAATTTCAAAAATTTGTAAGAATCATTGGATATTTAAAATCAAGGAACTAATATCTAAATAAAATTTACATATTTGCTCTTATAGATATTTTATTAAATATCAACCAATATATTGCTATATCGGCCAATATATCAGGTTAAAGACTTTATCTCACTAATATTTTATATTATTTTTTTATTTGTTGATTTTTTTGATATATCGACTGTTATCGAAAATATGGCCGATATACCCCTTCGAAGATATCGAAAAAATCATGTCATTTTTAATTTGATTATGAGTTGGGGTTTGGATTCTGTTTAGGAAACAAAATTGAAACTCACAAAACCCACATGCCACAATTCTTCTCCCAAATCTCTCCACTCTAGGCTCTCACAAATCTTAAGTACATATCTTGACGTAAATTCTTATGCTTAAAATTTATTAATATGTTAGATTACATATTACAATATCATGTCATGTATGAATATTATCTCATATGACACCTAGTATTACACACATATCCCTAATTTTTGCAATCCGATATCATAGATTTTAATTTTTTCAATATTTTTTTTCCATACACTTTGAAGTATATAATTTCAAGGAAATAATTCAAAATCTTGAGACTCATTCAAAATATGATGCTTTAATTTTTTTCGCATCTCTTGTACTACATAAATATAAGATAAGCATTTGGCCTCATATTGTATGATGAATATTATTTATCAATGGGATCATATACTGTTGTTGTGGATAATACAGATTTCAAATCTTTCGTAGGATTAACTTAACTTAAATACCTTGTAGTTTACCAAAATTGTACTTGTATACCTCTACTTGTATCTTGCTGCATTTTTTTTTTAAATTTTTAGATAACGTATCTTGATGTGCTTAAATATCCTAATATTTTCTAAAATTTAATGTTTATATCTTCTATCTTGTTATCTAAACATAAGAATGCTCTTTGTAATTTTCCTATATGAGTTTCATGATATAGTTTTAGGACAATTCTATGTTTTCTACTCTTTCCATAAATACTTTATAGACATGCAATTATCTATTAATATATTATTATACATTACTAATAATTAATATGATATAAAATTTTATAATAATGTTGAAAGTTCTAGGGACCAAATTATGCAAACTTAAAGTGACATATAATATAATTAATTTAGTTTAGTTAGTATTAAAATGTAATATTAAAATAGAATAGGGATAATATAGTCCTTGGAAAGTTTTTCCTTAACTCCCTCTTTTAAAAGGAGTATGATATGATATACATACTAGTTGTCATGCGTGCGATGCTGAAAATAGTTTTGAGTATTAAAATATTGTTCCATTACATATTGTGCTAATACTTTGAGTTGACAAATATTTATTCAAAATGATATCTGTTAAAATCATTTACTTATTCGAAGCTAAAAAGAAATAATGCAGAATATATATATATATATATATATATATATATATATATATAATATATATATATATATATATTATATATATATATATATATATATATATATATATATATATATATATTATATGAGAAATGAGTATGCTTGTAACCAAGCAACAAAAAGTTGTGCTTCGGTAGTGAGCGTGGTATAATCCCCTTCACTAATTCAAATGGTTGCCATATCCCCATGCACTTCTTAACTCATTGTGAATGGTGGTCTCCCATTTGAATGAGATGGAGGGTATTTGTGCACCTCACTACAAGCACAAAATTTGTGCTTGGGTACCAAGCATACCCATATATATATATATATATATATATATAATATATATATATATATATATATATATATATATATATATATATATATATATATATATATATATATATATGCATTATACCCTTTCAAATGAAATTCTTATTGTGAGCTAGCCCACTAGGCTACCAGATACGATGATCGGCACCGTCCATTCTAATTTACACCCACATGATCTATATGTAGAAAAAACTATATCGTTTAGAAATTTTTTAATCATTATTTTATCTATGTGCAAAAGAGATGGCTACTAAGCAATTTGAAAAATCAACATACTAGACTAGTTTGATTCCTATTCTAGAAGACTAAACTTCATGAAAATTTTATCATGTAATTTGATGATGTTTTCTACAAGATGTACAATGTTGATTTTGAATTTGATGAGATGATTAGTCTAGCTCACAATAAGGTTTCGTACACGAGAATGAGTGAGAATAGAATGCAATTCTAATTTCTCGTTCATGCTTACCAAACATGTATTTTTAGATGCTGAAAATGTTATTCCCACTTTTCATAAATTCCCACTTAATGTGAGAATTACTATTCCTAACAAGTTATTAAGGGATTGATGTTCTCACTTAAGTGAGAATAAAAATAATAAAATAAATTCTAGATATACTATTCTTAAATATATTCCCACTTAATTCTCTAATCGCATCCAAACATGAGAATGTGAATGAACATTCCATTCGCACATCAATTCCATTCGATTC